AAAAAAACTCAGATTAAAAAGGAAAGAAAGAAAGAAACCAGGACTGGTGTAGCAAAGTATGCAAAAGTGGGTAGATTTAAAGGACATGAGTTTATTACCTTGCAGAGTTGGAACCTGGGAATTGAATTCAGGATGTCATCCAAATGAAGCCCGCTCTCTTTCATGACCTATTTATGATCCTTTTGAATGTCCAGCCCAATTTGAAGTGTGCCCGCTCTCTTTCTCTCTTTCTTACTGTCTCTATCTTTCCCCCAGGGCAGTGGGTCTCAATCTTCCTGATGCCGCAGCCCTTTATTAATACAGTTCCTCATGTTGTGGTGACCCCCCAACCATGTAATTATTTTCGTTGGTACTGCATAACTGTAATTTTCCTATTGTTATGAATAGGGAGACCCTGGTGAAAGGGTCATTCGACCCCCAAAGGGGTTGCGACCCACATGTTGAGAACCGCTGCCCTGGGGAAAAATCTTTGTCACTTGCAATTTCAATAACCATAGGCATTCCTTAAGATTCCTTGGCTGCTTGGAAATGCGTGTTCTCTGAGCATCTGCCCTCCCTCTGTGTGGGCCTTGTCTGTTCTGTTCCTTGATAAGAACGTCAATCAGAAGTAGAAGAAATTTCACACAAAAAAATCATGCTCCAACCTGGAATTCCATTTATGGACTTATCACTAAATAGAGACAGAATACAAATATTTGGAGACATGAAAACTTTTTTAAAATCCCTCATGCGCATGCACCCTTCCTCTGGAACCATTTAGGATGTGTTCCACCCAGGGAGGCAGCCACGGAAAGCAGAGAATCAGAATTTTGCCGCCATAAGACAAAAGCCAATGGAAACCCCATAGAAGGAAGACCCTATGCTGGCATTTTGAATCCAGTAGAAAGGACCAAGAAGCCATGTCTGTTTCATGGCTGTCAGCTCTCTGTTCTCAGTCCTTCAAGGAAATCCTACTCAGTCCTTACCTGCTCCTGGATGAGTTCATAGAATGTCCAAAAACAGTGGGAGGATCAGGAAGCACACCCTCTCACCATTTGCATCTCCAGATGTAGAGCCAAGAATGTTGACCTAAACAAATGGAGTGGGTTTGGAAACGATGCGTCAACTGCTTCCTCGTGGGTCGTCAGTCGTGGCAGCCACCGAGGACTTCACCAGCAAACCAAGGGGACATTTCACTCCACACACCAACTCAGAGCCAAAGCTCAGGACGACCGAGCTCTGCAACAATCCGGAAAGGACCCTGCCACCGCTTCTCTCCATCGTCATTCTCACCATCATATGCGCAGAGTGTGCCATTGCAATCATTGCAAACGGGGTCATTGTGGCCGTAATTGCCGCTGAGTGGATTCAGAACAAGGCAGTTCCCGTGAGTGGCAGGATCCTGCTCTTCGTGAGCACGTCCCGAATAGCGCTGCAAAGCTTCATCATGCTAAAATCACTCTCCGCCCCACCTTTCCACGCTTTTATTACAAAGATGTGGTATACAATACACTCAAAGTCAGCTTCATGTTCTTAAATTATTGCAGCCTCTGGTTTGCTGCCTGGTTCAGTTTCTTCTACTTTGTGAGGGTCTCGGACTTCTCCTACCCGCTTTTTCTCAAGCTGAAGTGGAGGATTTCTGGATGGATGCCCTGGCTCCTGTGGCGATCGGTGTTCACTTCCTTGGGGTACAGTGTGCTCTTCTCCAAAGATGTCTACACTGTGTATTGTGACAACTCTTCTCCTGTCCCCTCTTCCAATTCCACGGTGAAGAAGTACTTGCCTAAGATCAGCGTGGTCAATTTGGTCCTTCTCTACAACCTGGGCATCTCCCTTCTTCTCACCGTGTTCATCTTGGCTGCTACCCTGCTCGTCGTCTCCCTCCAGAGGCACACCCTGCGCATGGAAAGCAGCGCCATGGGCTCCAGGGACCCCAGCATGCAGGCCCACGTGGGGGCTATCAAAGCCATCAGCCACTTCTTCGTTCTCTATGTCTCAATGCACTTGCTCTGGTTCTCTATATGTCCAACGTCTTTGAGACCAGCAGTCCCTGGAATATTTTGTGCAAAACCATCATGATGGTCTACCCTGCTGGCCATTCCATACTGCTGATCGTGGACAACCCCAGACTGAGAAGAGCTTGGAAGCGGTTTCGACACTGGATTCCTCTGTCCCTCAAATGGCAGAATCTGTGACCAGCGCTCACA